TTTATTTATTAATATTTGCACCAATATTCCTGTAAAACTAAAATTCCTCAAAAAATAAAGTCAGTTTAAGGATATGCCTGAAGTCTCATCAGGATTCAAAATATAGTTGTTATACTATTTTTTTAAACTACTACAGAATGATAAAGTTTTGCAAAGAAATTTCACTAGCAACTGTGTGAGATCATGGGGGGGAAAGTGTGTGTGTTTGTGTGTGTGTGCATGCACCCAATGATAGCTCTACCCTCAGTTCCTGATAAGCTCTTAAAGTCCCTGTAGGTTCCGGGCCCTCCCTGGTGGCACAGCGGGTTAAAGCACAGCACTGAGAAGCTGAAGCCACTTCCGCATGAGTTAGATTCCCGCCTGTCCCGAAGGTGACCACATGGCGTGGCAAACCTCTCCTGACCCGCCCACTGCTCCCCTCAGCAGTGTACTTCTTCGATCTGCCTGTTATGCTCCCCACTCTGTCTCTGGTGAAGCCTCTTGCCACCCCTGAGCCCCTGGCCTGTACCCCAGTTCTGTATGTACAAATAAATAAATTTAAAAAAGAAAAAAGAATCCCTGTAGGTCCCTAAGTGCTAAGAGCCCTCAAAGCATCTTTTATTCTATTAGGCATTTCTGGGTGGGCTCCTGGATATGAGCCAGTCATCAGCAAGTCCATGTTAAAGGTAGAAGCTTGGAATTTTCACCTCTCCTGACCTCCAGAGCACTTACATGAGGAGGCCACCATAAAAACCCCAACAGTAAGGGGCTTGGAAAGCTTCCAAGCAAGTGAACATGCACACATCGAGAGAGTAATGCCCCCCAACTCCATGAGGACAAAAGCTTCTGTGCTTGGGAGTCTCTCAGATCTTACCCCATGTATCTCCTCATCTACCTGTCCACCTGGATCCTTTACTTTGCACTTTAACAGACTGGCCAGAGTAAGTGTTTCCCTGATTTCTGTTAGCCACTCTATCTAGCAAATTAATCAAACCTTAGAGAAGGGTTCATGAGAATCTCTGATTTGTTGCAAAGTTGTATAGAAGGGCCCTCCATGGTGGCACAATGGGTTAAAGTGCAGCACTAGAAAGCCAGCTGCAGCTACTTCAACACAAGTTTGATTCCCCTGCCAGAGAGCTAACCCACATGGCACAGCAGACCTCTCCTGACCCACCCGCTGCTCCCCTCAGCAGTGTTCTTTCTCAGTTCTGCCTGTTCTGCTTCCCACTCTGTCTCTGGTGAAACCTCTCACCGCCCCTGCACCTCTGACCTGTACTTCAGTTCTGCATGCATAAATAAGTAAATCTTAAAAAAAAAAAAAAGGTTGTACAGAATTGTGGGTAACCTGATCACATACTGCATGTGACAGGGCGGTCTGGTGGGGTCTACGTCTCACCCTATGGAATCTGATGCTATGGCCAAGTAAGTACTCGCATGTTTAACTGAGTTGAGTTAGTTAAAATGCCTTTTGCAGCATCATGGGTGAACATGGAAGGGATCATGCTTAATGAAATAAGCCAGAAAGAAAAAGAAATATACCGGATTGTTTCACTCATACCAGGAGTTTAAGAGATTAGAAAATAAAGAAAAATCAATTGTAATAAGTTAAAAAAAAAAAATCAAAAACAACTATAGACCAGAGACATTCTACAGGGGTGGAGAACAGGATCAAAACTGGAGCGGGAAGAGAGCACTGGACTATGGTAATGGCACATGGGTGAATTGGTGGTGGGAAACCCACAGGGATTATAACTGAGATGAAAAAATTACAAAATGAAGAATATCATAAAGTAATAATAATAAATACATAAAATATGGAACTCATAGCTAATATCTGAGAACTGCTTGTTGATATGTCTGTGTTTGCCAGGAACACATTAGAATTGATGGCCAAAGTTAGTTACTGATAAGAAGTAAAAATGAAAGCAGAATACTAAACTGTTATCTCAAAAAATATTTCAATTAAGTGAAGAATCGTTTAATTTTGGGAAGGATGAAAAAGTATCCATGAAACATTTTTAATTTTCTAAAGTAAATATTCTTGACCTTAATTTTTGTCATATGGCTAAAGAGATTCAGAAAAGAATATTTTTGATTAAAATAAGTTAAATCCTGAATAAATTATTAAATGCATTTTTAAAAGCTTTCCATGTATCTCCGTTTTTCTTTTTCTTTCTTTCTTTTTTTTTTAAGATTTACTTACTTCTGTATAAGGAACTGGGTATAGGCCAGAGGTGCAGGGGTGGTGAGAGGTTTCACCAGAGACAGAGTGGGGAGCAGAACAGGCCGACTGAGGAAGTACACTGCTGAGGGGGGCAGCAGGTGAGAAAGGAGAGGTCTGAGGCACCATGCAGGTCACCTTCAGGGCATACTGAAGTGGCTGAGGCTGGCTGGGGCTAGCTCGCAATGCTGCATAGCAACCTGTTGCGCCACCAGGAAGGACCTTCAATGCATTTTAACTTCATTGCTAAACTGGCTGAGGGCAAAAAAAAAAATGAAGAGGCCAAAGTGAAAGCAAAATCAGTAACCTTAGTGCCAAGTCAGTCTTTAAGCCTGGGACTTTCCGCTGTGACCTGGAAATCAGAACTTCATTTTAGGGAGCGCAGGAAAGATAAAGCATAGAGTTCACCCAAAGTGGAGAGCTCAGCATAAGAACAAAAAGGAGGGCTGGGCCCCAAAGACCTGCACCCTCAAAACTGGTGTGACAGTGGTGAAGGAGAGGGAGCACAGGGAAGAGCAGGAGGAGGAAGGGAGAAAGAGAAGGAAGTGAAAGAGAAGTAGGCGATGAGGGGAGTGGAGAGGAAGAGGAGAGAAAGGAAGGAAAACAGGTGAAAACTGCAGTGGAAAGGAAGCAGATGTTCCTACTTCCATGGGCTGGGAGAGAGGGCAAAATCCCACAGCCAGCTTTAGCTTGTTTTCCATTTATATCAGTGCTGTGGTACAAGAGAATCTAAAGGAAATTTTTAATTTATTGGACTCAAGAACAAAGGAAAAGGCTCTCGAGAGAAAGCACCTTCAGCTAAGGCCTTTAAAATTGCAATGAAGTTCGAAATAGAAAAGCAAACTACAAAGCTGTATCTTCAACATAATGCCAACATTTAAAGAAGCTACGTGCACAGGAACACAAACTTGGTATTAAACATCACTTCATTAGAAGTGGGTGGTATTGTAATTTTGCTTTAGCTCTTCTTTTCACTTACCCATACTTTCAACAGGAGATACTATTTATATAAAAATATTAACATTACACATCTTCAAGAATCAAGGGTAGCATACACTGATAAATGAACAGTCAGATAAGACTTGTCTTTGTTTAGACTTTAATAATTAATGAAATGATATTAAATTGAGAAAATATCCAAATAAAAAAACAATATGCATAATATGCATTTTATAAGTTGCATTTTCAGAGAGTACCAAATTTTTCTCAAATGCTCAAAAAATGTTTTTATCCTCTGTCTACTTATAAGCCACATCCATTTTTATGTTCACAAGTCTATTTTAGTATTTTTCATTCAATTTCCCTGACCTACTCAAGGGTATGGCTTACCCTACACAAGTGACGACTTCATATGAATGCTTATAAATGCCTCTTTATAGAGAAACATGTAAAGAAAACATGTAAAGAAAATGAAACAGGACTAAGTAGAAAATGAAAATACACATGCAGGTCATTGAGTATCTATTAAGACTTACTTGTTCAGGATCATGCTAAGTGCTAAGGGATGATTTAAAGGGCACTAGCTTACAGCTTTTTGGGATCCACTGGCTATTCTAGAAACAAACCAATAAAAGCAAATACTACAATTACATTGCCTCTAGAGAATTAATTCGAAAAAATTGAAAGCATTTATATAACACAGTTTTAGGGCCCTGCCTACCAGAAGATTATTAATAGGCAATCAAAAGTGAAAATATAATCCTAAAAGATAAACAACTGAGGATATTTAAGTAGTTATCCTTGATGCTAGTGTATAGCAAGAATTCAAGTTTTGAGTCCCAGTTCGTGCATCTGAGAATTCCAAGTGGGGGTATGTCCCAAAGGCTGGCAGAGCACACCCTCCAGGGAACTTTTTGTAAAAACCAATCCTTCAGAGGAAGTATCTTAGTCCAGTAAGACAGGATGGGTGATTTTATGTACTCCAAGCTGCCTCTTGATAAGAGGATTTTACTTTGAGTCTCCACTTCCCTCTTCCCTGTCTTTTCAACCCCCCTACTCCAGGGAATTCCTGGTCTGTAACTTCCCAAGAGGAAGGTCCCAAGAGAAAATTATAGAGCTAAAAAAGATATTTTCCTCAGGATGCTGCGAACACAGGGCATCATCATGCAGAGACCAAGGAAACTATGGTACATGTCAGGAAAGGGGCTTCTCCTCCAGCAGGCTGACTTCGGTCTGCCATCAGCACAGCATGGCAGCACCTTCCCCAGGCTTCCTGGGCATTGGAGGGAGAGAAGCACAGGAGTTGGGGGAGGATGCATGTGAAATTTTGTATTGTACCCTAATGTGGTGTATTTATGAACACATATAAGAGACATCCCATTAGAATTCCTAGAAATAACTGCAGTTGTTGGGGTTGTTTCCAAGGAAACCAGGAACTGCAAAAAAAAAAAAGCAGAAAATTCTATGGGTGTTTTCCTTTGTGGCTATATATGTATGTGCACGTGTGTGTGTGTGTATGCAGTTGGATACAGTTTGGGGACACTAGAAGTAGGCGTCCCTCTATGAGCCGAGCGCCACAGGCAATCATCATGGCTGTCTTGGGGTGACTGAAAATACACACCTCATTTCTGGTGTGTATCAATTTTGAAACAAGGAAAATGTCATAAATAACTAATGAATATTCTATTCTTGAGTTCTCAGATAATCAGCGTCCTCTTTCATAATCTATCAAATAGGACACATCTAGCTATTTAACAAACATGGCTATTGAAAACCACATGGCCAATTTTGTGACTCCACATATGCCCTGCCCTCAGAAGAAAAATCCTCCAGAAGACAACTGCATTTCAAGAAGGTGGTTTTAAAACAACACAAAAACAATATTTTCCAAAGGAAAGGTTCCACTTGGAAGGCTACAGCTTAGCACAGAATGTAGAGCATTTTGAGGATCCAAAAAACCAGAAACTGAAGAACTTAGCACATGGACCAGATGGTCAGGAAGACTGTGTGATGACAGGAGAACCTTTTCAACGCGCAGGGAATCCGAATTGGACTGGTGGAGCGGACCAGAGCAGGAGCAGGGAGGAGGTATCCTGGGTGCCCTGTTCCTTGCCCTGCGGTTCTGTAACCTTATGAACAAACTGCAGCCTACTGTGGTGTGAAGAATGGGATCCGGGGGCTGCCCATGGTGACTCTGAGAAGTCTCATTGTGCAGGAGCCACCCAGGCTCAGGATAACAGGAAGCTGAGCTTGTGCACTTCACTAGCAGGCACTGCCAGGTAGTAACACTGAAGGTCGCTGGTGGCTCCCAAGCCCAAGTGGAAGGGGACACAGGAGAAGAGGCCACACTGAAGATACTGACAGATGGAAGGAAACGAGTGAGCAGGCCTGCTACAAGTGGGCTCCTGGCACTGAGGAAGCAAGAATGGCCAATAAGACAATCAATAAGCAGTGGAAGAACACCAAAGATAGTAATGTATTTTTTAGAATGTTGAGGTGAAAAGAGCCAGTCTGATTACAAGTAAGGAAATATTTTCTATATGAAAGACTTAAAAATGGAGCTACATCCTGCACCACCCAGAAGTAAGTCTCATCAGAAGAGCTATCAACTTACCAGAGTTGGTGTAGGAAAAGATTTGACCGAAGTAACTTCAGAAAACAGTGTTCTGACTGGAATTGGAGGCTAAGACAAAATGAAGCTGGACAGCCATGAATGGACAGACAGAAACAATGCAGCTGTGTTTACAACCATGGCTTGGTATTCCATATGCACACACACACACTTCAGTTCTGCATGTGGAGAGAACCCACGGGCAGTGCTATCTCAGCAGCAATGAGCACATCTTGTGCTCTGATCCTGAGTTTAAAATACTATTCTCCAATAAAAGGCCCAAGACTGCTCGGAGAAATGGCTAAAGTGAGGATAATATATGATGAGGTGACATATATCGCAGTGCCAAAAAGGAGACATTTGAAAACTAAAAGGATAGAGGCATGTCAAAGGGACTCATGGTTAACCTGAAAAAACTCCCAGGAGACAACAAAATAATGTAGATGTGATTACACACCAAGCAAAAAGAAAATAAACAAGAGTGTGTAGTGATGCAAATAACTGATTGAATAAATAAATGGGAGAGAAAGGACTTCATCCTGTAGGAATTCTTTCTCATCTATACAGCTGCTCCTCAGAGTGGAAGCTGGAGTTACCTGTGTCAGAGCTGGGTAGAGTTAGAGAGGTGAAATAATTTACAGTGAGGGCAGAAATCTGATACACATTCCCTTGGTCAGTGGTCAAGGTCAACAGCATGAGAGTAAGGCTAAGGAGAGCATCTCCCCGCTGATGTGGATGACGAGAACATTGCACCAGCCTTATGTATAGAACAGAATGCTTTTGCCTTTGTGTATTATCCTCTCACAGATGACTGGGACTCTTCCCAAGTCCTCAGTTCTGATGTCTACTAAGGTAAAGGTTGCTAACCACTTCCACCTTGTTAGTAACTTCCCCTGGTTCTTCAGGCCCAATTAGAAGAATCCACTCTGGCGAAGTTTCCTGCTCCAACCAGATTTTTCCTTCAGTCATGACTGCTTTCATTAGAATTGATGTAAAAGACACAATAACAAATTTTGCTGAGTTCTAAGAGTGAACATTCAAGCTGTCAAATAGTCTCTGACAATGGGGGGGTGGGGGGAACACAAGAATTTAAAGTATTCCCACATAGGGACACAAAGAAAAGAGTAAAGTTTCAAGTTATCTGTGCTATAATTCATTAAATTCTAATTGAAACCCAATTGATCTCAATGATATTTACATAAGGACACCTAATGGACAAACATTTCAAAGCAGGATTATCAGAACATCATCAGGAAGTGATAAAAATCCTGGTATTTTTAGCACTGAGCTAAGAGCCTGAGGTTTGGAATCAGAAAGACTAGAATTCAAATGCTGGCATTTGTCCATAGCAACCCTGTAAGCTTCAGAAAGATGAGCTTGCTTGTCTTTGACAGTAAAATGAAAATAAAAGTACATTTGAATCCAAAGTAAGTTCTGAAATTTAGAAAAAAAGTGACTGCTATGTGACTGCAGTTTCCAGAACTAGCAAACAACCCTTCCCGGTGGATACCAGACCATTTCCTCTAAACTTTTCCTTCATAATCTGTATCTGCCATGACTACTTTCTGATCATTGAAAAATGTAATTATTCTTCTGTTCTGACCAGATCAACATACAATGCTACCTCTCCATCCACTGATAAACCCCATGTTAAATTCTCAGAAATACAAATTTTTTATTTTGTTCATTCTTTAGATGAAGCCTATCTGACGTATCTAAGCCCAGCAACACACAATCTAAGCTCCCTGCTCTCAAACATAACCCTTCTTATGAGTATGTCTCTGCAAATACTGCAAATGGTGGAATCCTGTTTTTTTCACCCAGACCTTGAAACCAGACAATAACAACTTCTGAGAGAAATTTTTAATGATGTGAACACATAATAACTTTCCGTACCAGGTCCACATCTATGGGAATGTGTTCATAGGGTAAATATGCACACAGTTTTGCTTTGCTGTAAGTCCCTCCTTGTCACAATCTAGCAAATGTAGACTGTTCTGCAGTCCAGGCATGTGTCCTGCACCCAAGGAACTTGATAGCAATCGCTTTACCACATTATAAGCACATAATAAAGACTAATCTCCACGGTCAAACTAGAATGCCCTTGAGTACCCTCTGATGAGGAGAACCCACTTATTTCTACCAAGCAGGAACTCATTTATAGGGCACGGTGCACCCCAGTTTGTCTATCTGAGAAGATCCAGGTTTCCAAGCTCTGTCCTACCATAAGCCTTTTAGACCCTCACATTGTGTTGGTGATGTTGCTACCAAGAACTCTGATGTGCTTCTGACTTTGTGATGAAAACTAAGGTTAGTACATCTTTATCAATCAAAGCGCCTACACAAACATGATCTACTTATTCCTGAGTAACCAAGATTCACTCTACTGTTGTTGACAGATTGATTATAGGAGCTATTTTTCATGTTGAAAATTCAGCATTTTTCTTTTTCTCAAAGATACACAGACACTGACTAGAAAAATACCAACAACTATTCACAGTAAATTTACCCTAGAAATATTTTAGGGAGTTAAATTTTTGACAGATAATTTTATCCATTCTTACCTTACTCATTGGTGTTCCCCAACATGACTTTTTATGAGTTTTTGTTATCACTATCCTCAAATTTTAACTATTCATGGCACCAGCTAAAAAAAATCTTATCTCTTTCTCTCTCCATCCACATATGAAGAAGTGTCCCCAAGCCCTCCCTAGTGGTGCAACAGGTAAGGAAGCTAGCTGTAGCCACTTCAGCACAAGTTCTATCCCCGGTCCCGGAGGTGACCCACATGGCGCAGCAGACCTCTGCTGACCTGCCCGCTGCTCCCCTCAGCAGTGTACTTCATCAATCTACCTGTTCTGCTCCCCATTCTGTCTCTGATGAATCCTCTCACCACCCCTGCACCTCTGGCCTGTACCACAGTTCCATATGCATAAATAAATAAGCCTTAAAAAAAAAGTGTGTGATCCTTTGCTATTCTTTCCTTCCATTCCCACAATCTCAATATGCATATGCTTCAGAAATGTTACCTTCACCATATTTATTTCTCTCCTTCAAGGAAATATTCAATCATCTCTCTTGAAAGGCATTTTTCTCCTACTATGACCAGTTTATTAAGAGAATCAGTCTACTCCCACTTCATTGAATTCTGGAGATTAGAACCCTCAAACTCAATAATCACTATTAATATAATGTTTTGTGTACGTATGGAAACTCAGGCTTGGAAAGGCTACAATCAATCAGTGGATTGAGAATAAAAACCCAAGTTATCATTACTTTTCAGTTTGATTTAGACAGGCAGCATCACTTGGGGGCTATGAAAACCAACTCTGCATCATACGCCTGGGCTTGAATCATTACTCAGATGCTTACCATCTGTGTGACTTTAAAACAATCTCTCTATGCTTCAGTGTCTACATTTGTGAAATAGGGATAATGTCAGATTACTACCTATTATTGTGATGACTAAATGAGCAAAACATGCAGTAAATGACAAAAATTCACATATAAAATCCCATTTATTTATTATTAACTACTATATTATATTGCCTTTAACATTTTTTAAAAATAAATGCAAACTTACTAGTCAAAATAATCTATGACTAGTTCCCCACTCAGGTAATAAATATAGAGATGACTTGGTCTATTTAACAAAGCAATAATTCCCTAATCTATCTATGACAGATATTTCATTAGTTGAAATTCGACCAGAGTTTGAAACACATAACAAATGCTTAATAATGATGATAAAATAATAGCTAATATTTATTAAGGCTTATTTTGTATTAGGTGATTATTGATGTGTGATAAGTACTTTAATTATCCCTATTATTAAATGAGGAAACTGAAGTTAACTGGTTAAATAACTTGCTCAAGATCAGAAGGTGGTAAATGTCAAATCTCTAGCTTAACCTGCAGGGAATTAGAAAGCCTATGCAGCCTATAGCAAGACATGTCTAAGTATCACCTTCATTTTCAAATAAAGATGCTCAACAATTGGTAAGCCCAGTTGTCTTTTATCTTTACATTGCATTTACATTTGATTTAATGATCTCACTGATCAATTGGTCACGGGCTTATAGAATCCGTTAATGATAGCAAGATTTAGGTAAAAAGAAAAAATCATTAATGTAAAATGCTCCCTTGAATCTTAGGATTAAAAGAACTCCAGAAGATGTGCCTGCTAAACCTGTAAGAATGAATATATAAAACTGTAAATCTAACCTCCCCAAAATCATGTAAGGTAACCCCCTATCTATTAAATGAAGAAAGTTATAGCTTAGAAAGGTTAATAACAACTCTAAAGTTTCAAAGAGAACAAGTAGCAGAATAGAGATGTGAATGTGGGTTATTTTTTCTGATCATAAAGTAGTTTTCACAAAACTTAACAATCTTCCAAGATGGATTTTCTTTCTTAAATGTGTCAATTATGACTGAAAAAAAAACATTTTTTTCTTGCAAACAAACTTAACTTTAATAAACTCAATGTAATTATACTCTCAAATACTTTTTGTTTTGAGTAATTCATAACCAGGCAACTGGTTATGAAAGACAAAATTAGTGGTATTAACTCCTGTAATATTTATCAGTTGGCATCTACTGTATTGCTAGCAAAGATTTTACGTATAATATCCATCATACCATATCTGGATAATATATGAATATCGTGAACCAGTCTAGACAGCTTCAGGCCTGAGACAATTTATAATGCAATCTGTATCTAAAAGATGTAATAAACAAAATAGGTTTATCCTGTTTCTTCTCAGAAGGATTACAACAACAAAGACCTTGTTTTAAATCTTCTGAAAGAAAATATTGACTAGACTGATATTGTTACAGCAAATTCAATAAGTAAATGTAAGAAGATGTTTAAAGTACACTGGATCTTATTTTGTGTCAG